ATTGAGATGATCAATGCTGTTAAATTTGATTCAATTTCAGCATACATAAATTAAACGATTTCAAATTAACATTTAAATGTAAGATTTTAAGGAGCTGGGAAGTTTACTTTGTAAAAGTTCAAAGAACAATATTCATAGTTAGATTGTTTTGTTACCCTAGCTACAATCTGATGCTGTGAGTTTAATCTTTAAGTTTGAGCTCTGTTTGTTCACAAATACAATTTAGTAAACTGCAATTATAACCGATTGCTTTTTAGGTTGGCCAATTAAACTAGTCCCCCTCTCTCAGATTAAATCCAACACATCTGTTAGAGGTGCTGATGTTTTCAGCAACAAAAGGGGCCCCTAAATCAAATTCTGCTCCAGGCCTCATACAGCCTTGGACCGGCCCTGCATGATGAGGTAATCTGCTGCACTACACAGAGATGCACAACAAACGGGAGATTTAATTCAATGCTGCTAATGTGGCTTTAGTAGCTCTTTCATTTTGTGTCTGTTGAGTTTTTAATAAGCGTCACAGAAACTATTCTGGTTGGTCCAGTTTATGGGACGAGTTTCTCAGATCTCCGCGTGGCCGTCTGACTAAGTGGACAAAGCATTTGATACGTTTGATGCATTGAGTTACCGTAAAAAAATAATACTAAAAATAATAATATAATAATATAAAATCAGCCTGATGCTTTACAGACAGGAGAGCGCGAAAGCTCCTCACCAGGTTGAACCTGCATGATCAGGTTAGCGCTAGTTCATTAACTAATACACCGGCCAACCGGGAACACATAGATAAACTTTATCAGCGCAAGCAGAGCCGGCGCTGGGCAGCGTGTTGAGATGGAAAAGCTGCACAAAATTCTTTGTTCACAAATATAAATTATTCTCACCACTCGCTCAATGCACCTTTGAAAACGCGACTACAAGTTATTCCTGCAGTTCACGTAGAGCTGCGCAACCAGAGCTAACCAGAGTGGTGTTTAAAGTCCTACCTTGATCAAAAACTCGGGAAAGAATCATAATTCCTCACAGGGGGTTGATGTAAATATCCATACAGGTTAGCATGTGTCCAGTTTGAGTAACAGGAGGCGCGCGGGATCCGCACTGAGGTAAACTTAATCCAGCTTATGCGGCGCGCGAGGCAACGCACAGAGGCGCCAGCGGTGTGATTGGTCCGGCTTTGAATGCATAAACTATAAAACCATCTTCTATAAACATATATTTTAGGAATAAATCTGCTCTGCCAGTGAAGCGCTCAGAGCAACAGAGATGCTTGCAATCTGGCTTAAAAAAGGAAAAAAAAAAAAAACTTTGAAAATTTTTTATTATTATTATTATTTTCCTAAAAACATAAACAAGAAAGGCTTAGCCTGGCAGTGGCGCTAGTAAAGGATGGCGGGCCGCCAGGCCTGTAATACACTGGTGGAAACCCTGCATCAGCTTTAGCCAAGTCCCTATGTAAGGGATGTAATGTAAATGTAATGTAATGGTAATGTATGATGAAGTCCATGTTCATCAGAGCCATGCTGGGATGACTTCCCTGTTATATAATTCATATCCTTTTATATAAATATGTCATAACTGTACAACAGACCCATGCACAGTGAGATGTAAATATACATTCTGCATCCTCTTTCTGCTCCCTCTGCACTTTTCTTTAGCTTTAGACATTTCATTAATTTCTGTTAAACCTGAATTTAACCCATCTTGTAAGCAACACTGCAGTGACTCAGCATGCAGGCAGCAGCTGTAAGCTGTCCTCCATCTCTGTGCAGATGAGTCCATGCAGAAGCTGTTTGAGGGAGGAAAAGGCAGTGTCTTCCAGAGGGTCCTGTCCTGGATCCCATCCCACAACCACCAGCTGCAGCTCGCCGGGGCTTTGGCCATCGCAAACTTCGCCCGCAACGGTCAGCTCTGATACTGTGCCAAGTGAAACAGACAAATGTTGGCAGGATTAGATAACAAGTGACAAACTGAATTCATGCAATGGAGGGGTGTAGGAGAGAACGGGCAAAAGATGAGCAGTGCGCGTATACACACACACGTATGTGTGTGTGTGTGTGTATGTACACATATATATATATATATATATATATATATATATGTGTGTGTGTGTGTGTTTATGTATATGTGTGTGTATGTGTGTATGTATGTATGCGGGTACGTATGTACATTTCTTAAGAATATCTTTTCATGGGACAACACTGACAAATTGACACTTTGAGACAATGAAAAGTTGTCTGTGTACAGCTTATATAAAAATTTTAATTTATTCTTCCCTCAAAATAACTATTAATGTCTACCACCGGCAACAAAAGTGAGTACACTCCTAAGAAACTACACGCCTAATTGTCCAAATTGAGCACTGCTTGTCATTTTCCCTCCAAAATGTCATGTGATTTGTTAGTGTTACTAGGTTTAAGGTGTGTGTATAGGGAGCAGGTGTGTTAAATTTTTAGTACAGCTCTCACATTCTCTCTACTGGTCACTGAAAGTTCCAACATGGCACTCATGCGGTGAAGGCGGACGCTTCTTTCCTCTGCTCCCTCCCTGCCCATGCCTGCTTGCTCTGTTTTTGTCCTGTCTTTTTCTATATTGAAGTCACCGTATTCACTCATGTCTTTGTTTTGCCCCTTTGTTTTGTCTGAATGTTGCCATCTGCCCTAATGTGTCCTTTCCTATTTTCCTTTGGTTTATTTTGTTTGCATTTCCTTTTAACTCATGTAAAGCACTTTGAATTGCCTTGTTGCTGAAAATTTCCTATATAAATAAAATTACCTTACCTTACCTCATGGCAAGGAACTCTTTGAGAATCTTAAGACAAATTGCTGTGCTACATGAAGATGGCCAAGAGGATTGCTAACACCCAGAAACTGAACTGCAGCACAGTGGTCAAGATCATTCAGCTTTCTGAAGAGTAGGGTCCACTCAGAACAAACCTCGCGTTAGTCGTCCAAAGACGCTCAGTGCACATACTCAGCGTCACATCCAAATGCTTTCTTTGAAAGATGGGTGCAGAGGTGCTGCAGAGGTTGAAGGGGTCGGGAGTCAGCCTGTCAGCGCTCAGACCATACCCCTCACACTACATCAAATTAGTCTGCATGGCTTTCATCCCGGAAGGACATGTCTTCTTAAGTCTGTACACAAGAAAGCCCGCAAACAGTTTGCTGAAGACATGTCAACAAAATACATGGATTACTGGAACCAGGTCCTGTGGTCTGATGAGACCAAGATTAATTTATTTGTTTCAGATGGTCTCAAGGATGTGTGACAGCTGTCAGGTGAGGAGTACAAAGTTAAGTGTGTGATGCCTACAGTCAAGCATGGTGGTGGGAATGCCATGGTCTGGGGCTGCATGAGTCCAGCAAGTGTTGGGGAGTCATGAACTCCAATCTGCACCGTGAAATACAGAAGCAGAGCATGATCCCCTCCCTCTGGAAACTGGGTCGCAGGGCAGCGTTCCAGCATGATAATGACCCTAAACACACCTCTAAGATGACCACTGCTTTATTGAAGAGGCTGAGGGTGAAGGTGATGGACTGGCCAAGCATGTCTCCAGACCTAAACCCAATAGAACATCTTTTGAGCATCCTCAAGGGGAAGGTGGAGGAGCGCAAAGTCTTGAACATCCACCACCTCCGTGATGTCATCATGGAGGAGTGGAAAAGCATTCCAATGGCAACCTGTGAAGCTCTGGTGAACTCCATGCCCAGGACAATTAAGGCAATTTTGGTAAATAATGCTGGCCATACAAAATATTGACACTTGAGGAACTTTCAGTATGGGGTGTACTCACTTTTGGTGCCGGTAGTTTAGACATTAATGGCTACATATAGAGTTATTTTGAGGGAAGAATAAATTTACACTGTTATATAAGCTGCATATAGACTACTTTTCATTGTGTCAAAGTATCATTTTGTCAGTGTTGTCCCATGACAAGTTATACTTAAATATCTGCAAAAATGTGAGGGATGTACTCACTTTTGTAATACACTGTATGTATATATGTATGCGTGTGTGTGTGTCATAATCAGCCAATTTCCGTGAAAAAGTGTATGATCGGTGATCTCCAATCACAGTCTCTTGTTGCCAATCACCTGTATCTAATTCGCAGCCTGCGTCTGCAGCTGTCTCCTCTTTTCTTCACACTGTGCAAGCGCGCAGCAGCGATGGAAATTTACCCCAGGAGTGAAGCACGTCAAAATGCATCAACACAACGAATCTAATGTGATATTTAAAAAACAAGCACTTGATGGAGTTTGGCTACATTGAGGCTCATTGCAGGAAAAAAGGACACCCAGAGAGGCCAGTAAAGTAGCGCACAACTACCAACACTCACCCGGATTAGCATAATGATCAGAAAGCTAAACAAATTACCTGAAAGTCTTCGAGCTAGCGGTGTAAGATGCTGGTTCTGTTCTCGTTGTTGAACCGCCGCTACGCGCTACTGGTAGTAATATTTCACAGACGGAGCGCCGTTTCTGCTCCACCTGCTGTGAAACTCTCACACCGAACCTCTGCTTAAAGCTGCAGCAGGTAACTTAAAAAAAGAAAATATTTTAGATTTGTATTAAAACTTTTGCTGTCCTAACACAAGACAGATAATCTCTGAAAAAATAATCGATCTCCTCTGCCTCCTCCTGTGTTCTGCAGAAGTACTCAGCCCAGTCAGAAACAACCAATCAGAACCAGCATTAATCAGCTAGCCATGCTATCAGGAAGGGTTGTTTATTTTGATGCAGCCTGCGATTGACTTTGAATGACTGTTTCCTTTTTTACTTGACATTATTTTATATAGGCAGATTTATTTGACTCATGTATAATTTATGGTACTGAGAGGGTTACTATTAAATATTATTTTACTGATTGCAGGTTTTTCAGTTATCCTTTTGACTGAATAGATGTGCCTGCAAGTATTTTGCATGTTTTATGCCTAAATTAGGTGAATTTATTTCCAGATCATTTTTTAATTTTGTCAGATCACACAGTAGCATTTATACCTAAAGCAAAAAATTAATGGTCAATCTAGGTGATCGGCAGATATCGACCTCAATGGTGATCGGTATCGGAATTGGCAGCAGAAAACCTGATCGGAGCATCCCTTATATATGTGTGCGTGCGTGCATGTATGTATGTACAGTGCTTCTTGAAAGTTTGTGAACTAGTTGAGCAGTTTAGATTTTTCTTTATTTTTACCATTATTTTCTTATTTTCTCATTACCAGTTTTTGTATATGAAATGTCAGGTTTATGTTCATCAATTCTGTTCACTTGTTTTGAAGAAAATGTGTGAGTTGAAAGCAAACTAAATGAAAAATGGAATCAGAGCATCTGCAAAAGTAAAAGAACCACAGCTGCACTGGTAAAGTAACTAGGTAAAAGACTCGGGTGAAACACATCTGAGTGCTCAAGTAATCAGTTAAGCAGACCAATCAAATGAGACATCATTGGAAAAAGTTTTGGGCTGCACTAGTTAAAAGGGAGAGGACCAAAGTGGTTTGTTGGTTGTGTAGAAGTAATGGCTGCAAAAGGAGATGCCACAAGATACTAACTGAAAGAGTTCACATACTTTTGCACTTGGCAGATTTTCTGTTTTTGACAGATAAAATACTTTTGTTGAATAAATAATGAAAATATGTATCTTTGTGTTCCTTATTTGGAAGGTCCACATTACAATTTGAGCTTTGAATGTTTATTTCACATGACTATTATAATTTTTCTTTAGAAAACAATGGCCATGTTTGGGTGGTTCACAAACTTTCAAGCAGCACTGTGTGTGTGTGTGTGTGTGTGTGTGTGTGTGTGTGTGTGTGTGCGTGCGTGCGTGCGTGTGTGTGTGCGCGCGCGTGCGTGCGTTTGTTTGTAATACCTTGTGGGGACAATTTTCCTGACATATACTACGTTGTGGGGACCAATTGCTCCTTGTGGGGACCGGAGCCTGGTCCCCACAAGGGGCAACCCTGTTTTTGGGTAAGGGGTCAGATTTAGGGCTAAGGTATGAATTGAGTTTTGGTTGGTTAGGGTTAGGGTTAGGAAAAGGTTTAGGCTGTAGAAATGAATGGAAGTCAATGGAAAGTCCCCACAAAGATAGCCAAGCAAACGTGTGTGTATAAAATATTTATTTTTCTTTTCTCTTGAACTTCCTTGCAGTAGCAGCAGCAAGTATTGTTGTTACTTGATGTTATTATTACTGTCTCCTGATAACCTCATGTCAGGTCATGTTTGCGTTGCACTGTGAGCAGACGGGAACTGCATCCACATGGTGGACACTGGGATTGTTCAGAAACTTCTGGAGCTGTTGGAACGCCATGTTGAAGAAGGCAATGTGACGGTGCAGCACGCAGCGCTCAGCGCCCTGCGGAACCTGGCCATACCTGGTGAGATGCTGCATTTCTCCCACCTTTCACTTGCACAGGATGGTTGACCTTTATACTGTTTTCACACTGAAAGTTTCATCCTTATTCTCTGTAGCAGTTAGACTCCTGCTCTCTTTAAGGTCAATCTTTCTGGCATTTTCAGACTGACCTTTGAACTCATTGTAGTGACATTCTATCACAATGCTAAATGTCCATTTTTAACTTATAGTAGAAATCAGAAGTATACAACTTCTCTGTTCAAACCCAAGCCAAGATAAAGACACATTTATTTAGAACTGCTTTTAGTACATTGTAGTATTTTGTCATTTTTATGTTTATACTCACTTTATTTAATTTTGTATTAGTTTCTTAATTTTTATTCCCGTACTAATGGAAAGTACTGTGGTGCAGTACTCACTGTTGTAAAGTGCTATGTAAATCAAATTTGATTGATTTTTTTTTCTCATTGTCCAAATTTAAATCAAACAGATCAAACTTCTGATTTTAAAGATATTCATAAATAAATCTCTGACACATTCCCTACTATATTTCTGGCATTTAGCAAATAGAAATAATTTTGGTAATTCTAATTGACAGAACAACAGAACTTCGGTCTGATTTAACTTCAGACAGTGAGACGAAAAGGTGGATGTGTGTTTTTATTCAGTGTATGTAAATTCCTGGTTTCAACTGTATTTTCTACAAAAGCAACAAAAGCCTGACGGGTTAAACAAAGCATGAGGAGAAAGTGCTGGACCTTTGGACTGATGTGAAGCGTCTGCGTTTCTCTATCTCTTTAGTGGTGAACAAATCCAAAATGCTGTGTGCCGGCGTGGCAGACGTGGTGCTGAAGTTCCTGCAGTCAGAGATGCCTCCAGTCCAATTCAAACTACTGGGAACATTACGAATGCTCATCGATACTCAAGGTAGAGTAGTTTGTCCCTCCTTTCAGCTCAGTTCCCAGCCAGCACTATTGAGTGGTGAAAGAAATGAAATCATTTAGATTGAAGATTTTATGAATCAGGACATAATAGGTATGCCCTGATCAGGTTTTTTGCTGCCGATTCCAATACCGATCATCCAATTAACAGGCAAATGCCTGTTAATTTTTCGCTTTAGCTATAAATGCTACTATGTGATCTAATGAAATGGAAAAATTATCTGACAATAAATTTACCTAATTTAGACATAATAGACATATTTTAATACATATATAAAATCTTTTTTTTTAAGTTACATGCTGCAGCTTTAAGCAGATGTTCGGTGTGAGAGAGTTCACTGTCTGGTGAGGTTGAGCGGCGCTATGTCTGTAAAATATTACTACCAGTAGCGGGTGCCGGCAGTCCAAGAGCGAGAGCAGAACCAGCATCTTGCACCGCCAGCTCGAAAACTTATTTTTCAGGTTATTTGTTTAGCTTTCTAACCGTGATGCTAATCCGGGTGAGTGTTGGTAGTTGTGCGCTGCTTTAACTGCTGTCTGGCAGCTCCGGATGTCCTTTTTTTTTCTGCATTGAGCCTCAATGTAGCCAAACTCCGTCAAGTCCTTGTTTTTTAAATGCCATATTAGATTTGTTGTGTTGATGCATTTTGAGTGCTTCACCCCCGAAGAAACTTTCCCCCGCAACACGCAAACGTCCCCATTCACTGTCAGAGCGTCAAAGGGCGACAGGATTTGTTGCTGCGCACTTACGCAGTGTGAAGGACAGAGGAGATAAGCTCCACATGCAGGCTGTGAAGTGAGATAAATGTGATTGATTTTGGTGATCGGCAACAAGTGACAGTGATTGGCGATCATACTTGGCCGAAATCGGCCAAGTATGATGGGTGGCCAATCGATTGGCACACCTGTAGGACAAAACATGAGATTTATTCCTTTTGACCCAATGCTTCAATATTTAACCCAGCTCCTTTCATTATTGAAGAACAGAATATATAACACATGTATTTCTACCTCTTGAACTTCTCCATTTTTCAAACATCAAGAAAAATAAAATCTTGAAAGTGTGGTGTGCTTTGTAGAACCTTTCATTATAATTACAGCTGCAAGTCTTACGATGAGTATCTATGCTAATTAGATGTAGATCTGGAATTTGACTACAACAATGCTGTGTATCTTTGGCTGAATGTTAAGGGTGGTTGTTGAACCTCCACCCAGCCTCCAGCAGGTTTTCTTACAGGACTTTCCAGGGTTTAGTTTCGTTCATTTTCCCTGTCTCTGATGTCCCCATGGCATCATACTGCCACCACCATGTTGAATGTCCGCGTTGATGTGTGGTGTTAGTTTTTCAACGCAAGGTGTTGATTTTATTTTATTTCCATTCAACCCAGAAGGTTGTGAAGCGGTATTTGATTAAAAATAGATATATTTTTGTTTACAGATTTGGAAAACAGAAGGTTGAAATGATTTGTGCCCTTCTAAATGATCAATGGAAACATCCTTTTATGGCTATGTAGCAGTCAGTCTTTTTTCTGCTAATAGCCAGTTGGAAGTCCCCCTTGCCTTCCTCCTAATATTTAGCTCCTTCCATAGATTATCTATTGACTTCAACTCTGGCTGGGCCACTTCAAAATCATGCCTGAAAAAACATGGTGATAAAAGTAAAAAAAATAAATTAAATTAATGAAACCTTAATCCATACCCAGTGGTGTGAATAATTTGGAGCCAGAAAGTGTAGCTTTGGTTTGAGTAGAGAACCTTTTCCCACTTGTTTGCTGTCTTCCCGAGTGAGCAAACTAGACATCTTCTGGCCTTCTTCTAACATTGCAATCTCAATGTGACTTAAAGATGTCCTGTCAACAAATCAGGACCTTGCACCTGAGCCAATCCTCTATGCAGCTCCTCCAGAGTGACCATTATGGAGTGAAAATAGTCTCAAAATACTTGTGCGCGTGTAATACTGGATTTGTAATCCGTGCAAGCATCTTTGTAAATATGGGATCAAATGCATACACAAATATGAAGAAATTATGAATACAAGATAAAAGTACACACACACAATTACAATTTCTACAAACGTTAAATTTTTACACACAGATTTTTTAACTTCAACTTCTCAAATCTGATAATTATGAATTCAAATCTTCTCCTATGCCTACAAATGTTAAATAAGTAACACAAGTCTCTTGATACATACAGACAAAACTGCATTTATGCGTAGATCCGGTTATGAGTGCAGGAAGATTTTTGAGAATCATTTCCTATGGAGTGAAAATAGTCTCAAAATACCTGTGAGCATGTAATACTGGATTTGTAATCAGTGGAAGCATCTTTGTGTGTAACTTTGGATATTTGTATCTGTGAAACATGATTTGTAAACCGTAAAAAGAAAATTTGCACGTAACTCCGGTTACTTGTAAATATGTGGTCAAATGCATACATAAATATGAAGAAACTACGTATACAAAATAAAAGTACACACATACAATTCTACAAACGTAAAATTTCTACACACACACTTTTAACTTCAACCTCATAAATCTGATAATTATGAATTCAAACCTTCTCCTACGCCTACAAATGTTAAATAAGTACACATGAGTCACCTGATACACACAGACAAAACTGCATTTATGCACAGATCCGATTATGAGTGCACAAGAATCTTTGAGACTCATTTCACGCTTCCAACAGCCTCAGATATGTGTGTAAGCCTGTCTAGGAGGAAGGCCATTGCCTTGGTAGGTTTGCAGCAGGTTGACACACAGGTCAACCCTGTTCACTAATAAGGTGTCTTCTGGAGACTGAATACAAATTCACACCACACTTTTCAGTAATTCTGTTCTAAACAAGGTTGAAAACCATGTTTTATATTCATTCCACTTCATTGTACTTTTTCTTCTGTAGCATAAAATTAGTAAAGCACACTGAAGTTTGTGGAGAAGAATCGAAAGATCCAATGATGTTCAACACATTGTGTAGTAAATTTGCCACTCAAATCTTCTTCATGTTGTTTTGATGACCAATAGAGTTTCTTGGTATTATGCTCGAGCCCAAATTTAGAGTTCTACCTATATACACACACAACTACGAAGAGAACTCCTCCTTATTTGTTGCTAATGCTGCTTGCTCACTGTGTGCCTTGGTTCAGCTGAAGCCGCAGAGCAGCTGGGAACCAATGGGAAGCTGGTTGAAAGGCTAGTGGAGTGGTGTGAAGCCAAAGATCACGCGGGGGTGATGGGCGAGTCCAACCGCCTGCTGTCGGCTCTGATCCGACACAGCAAGTCTAAGGTAACCCATGTTCCACTTTGTTCAGATTTTATTCAACAAAACGTTTCTGATGGGAAATCTGCAGCTTTTTAAATGTTTCGCTGGTATTTTGATTTTTTATTAATGACAGGCTCCAAGCCTTTGAGGTTGGAATGCCTCTTTGCCATCACCCTAATCTTTAGCTTTAAGATGTCAATGACCAAACTGATAGAAGAAAGGCACTTGCTGAGATTTGAACCGAGGACTTTCTTGCTGCCCTGCCTTGCAGCATGCCCTTAATCCTACTGATCTGGATTATTAGACTCATGCTAGGAATACAGATGATTTGGGACTGGGATATTTCACTGCAATGCTTTTTACATCTGTTTTTTGGGTTGTAGGAAGTTGTCAGAACTGTGATCCAGAAAGGAGGAGTCAAGCATTTAGTAACTATGGCAACCAGTGAACATATGATTATGCAGAACGAAGCACTGGTGGCTCTGGGGCTTATAGCGGCGCTGGATTTGGGTAAGACCATTGACAATCAGAATGGAGCTGACACTGCACATGTCAGCTTTATTCTGATTGCCTTTTGTTTAATACAGATATAACGTATAAATAAAAAATCTGATTCTTTTCAGGTTTTAATAATAATTCTTAAATGTTTCCACTTTTGAAACTTCTTAACCACAAATTTCAGAGCTGCATGAAATAATGCTTTCTTAGGAAGTGAAACAAAAATGGTTTTAATTTTTTTTATGAATAGAAATCTAGAACTGATTCTTTTGTATTTAGTCCGCTTCAGAACATCCATAACTGTGTTCCTCTGAGCTTTTCTGCCAGATGGGAAAACAAAGAATACCCTTGTGATGGAAGTTTGGATACTGATGTGATAACAGAACGGTTTGGGTTTTCAGTTGCAGCTGAAAAGGACTTTGTTGGAGCCAACCTTGTGTCGGTGCTTCACAAGTTGCTGTCTGATGAAAGGAGCGCACCAGAGATAAAATATAACTCCATGATCCTCATCTGTGCAGTCATGGGCTCAGGTGAGAGCCACATTTGAAGAATATCACCAACTAAAAACTACTCTTCCCTTTGGTCAGTGGTAGGCACTGCTAACTAAAAAGTTATTTGCGCCAACCCTAAAGAACTAATGATAAGCAATAGTTTTGGTAACGTTAAAATGCTACAACAATACAGTATTTAGCTGAAGTTAATTCTAAATCACTATGCCAATACGGCATTTAGCTAACTCTAAAGTGTTACACCAATACTGTATTTAGTGGTGGCTCCGGAGAGAGCCTGTAGCATCACCAAGGACCCCTCACACACTGGGCACCACATCTTCAAACTCCTGACCTCTGGGCAATAAAGTCAAGAACAGAGTAACAGTTTCTTCTCAAGAACTGTTGTTGCCCTGAGCACAGTATCTAAAAACCTGATCTTTATTTATTTATTCTTAACATCCCAATTCTGTTTCTTGAAGAGTTGCTATTTTCTAAAATTTTGTTGTGCTTTATACATGCAGTGACATTAAAATGAATTCTGATTCTGATTTAATGGAAGTTAACGCTAAAGTGCCACACTTATATGGTATTTAGTGGAAACTAATAAAGTGTTAATTCGACCAACATTTTACAAAATAACATAATGTCTTCACCCACTTCAAAATCACCGCATGGTTAATAACGTCTAACTCTTTGAAGAATTTTTAACAGTCAAGAACCAAAACTTCAACACAGACGACAAACTTTGTTCAACTGAAAGCTTACAAAACAGCCAAGTAACTTAGCACTTTAGAATTCCAAAAAATTAATTTTAAGTGTCCCAAATGTTTTCAAAGTTAGCAAAAGTTCGAAATAAAAAATCATCTCCACTATTAACGCATTAGTGGCCCACCACTGTCTTTGGTGCTGGGTAAGTTTGTCTGTAAACTGGACTTATTTTCTGAACCTCTTCTGTTTTCAGAGCCTCTTCACAAGGAGGTGCAGAGCCTGGCGTTTATTGACGTGGTGTCCAAACTGAGATCTCATGAAAACAAGACTGTGTCGCACCAGGCCTCGCTCACAGAGCAGCGGCTTACTGCCCAGAGCTAAATGACTGTGTCCACTCCCAACACCTCCAACACCCCAACACTCCTGAATGCCTGCCTGACCACCCAACACCTCATGACTGCTCCCCCATTGTGCCCCATCGTCACGTGCCAAGGTACCGCATCGCGTTAACTGCCAGCCAGACATCTGCCCCTCTCCATCCTTTGTCCCCTCAGCCTCAGTCTTAGAAACAAACAGTAAAACATTTTATATTCCAGAGCTACTGTCATTTGTAACTGATGTAGAAACAAACAGATTTTACCCAGATGTGTTATATTTAGGTCAAGAAATCTTCCAAGACTTCAGAGGATTCACGTTGTTTCTGTTTGAAAGCCATAAAAATGATTCAGTTGGAGTGTCTCCTTCCACACCTATATCCTTATGTGGACAGACTTCCCACCAGTGATGAACTGATATTTGACCTGAGGTAATATCTGAGTCCAAACTAAGATTGCCCCCATGTGTGCATGTATGTTCTGCCTCAAGCCTGAAGCAACAGAAGAAGAGACAACGCTCTTTAAGACCACAGCTGTGACACCAGTAATCCACCAAACCAGGTAGAAAGAATTTTCAAAAGTAAAAAAAGAAGATCTCCTTGTTATGGTTTATTTGATTCAAGCAGCCTACCATGATGTCCCAGTCATGTCTCATGTAGCTGGAGTTTAATCTGAGTAGAACCTGTGCATGTTTTTGTCCTCTTCAAGTTGTGACCGTTTTCATTTTGACCTCTTCTGTTACCTGCTTCATTCTCTCCTGACACCTTGGGTCCTAAACTTTTTATTCTAAGCCTTGGAAGTCGAGATTTTAGTGTTTCAGTTCCACTCCTGTCCCCACACCCCACTAATCCAATGGCTGGATAGTGAAAGTTGAGCCCCAGACTGTGTCCAACCTGTCCCTGATGAAGATTCGGAGTAAATGCAGCTAGGTTTAGGAATGTTGTGAGTGTGCTTTTCCCGACTGAAGCATCATGTTGTTGAACCATCAGCAGAGATGCACAAGTCTTAGCTTGGAGCTCTTTGCTTTGATCCAACAGCTTCAGACTTCATGTTATGCTCTGTCTCCATCTCTTCGTAGTTTCTCAGCAGATTTTACAGTTAGAATGTCGGAAGTATGCTCTCAGTTCATATCAGCCAATCCCTTCAACCAATTTAAAATCATGTTTACATAAACTTTTATTAAAGCTTATAGTTGCAAATCCAAATCTGTCAACACATAGTGAAATCTGTGTAAAGCGACTATTTATTACGCTGTGGATGAAGCTCATTTTTTGATATTTTGTAGATAATAGATGCTATGAAGAGCAGTTTCCTTCCCTAAAGCCGATTGGTTGTTCATGGCTCATGTGGGTTCCTGCTAACATGCCTATCTGAGCATGTGCGACACTGTGCTGTCACCTAGTGTGTTCCTCTGTCTGGGCCCATGCTACATCTTGTTTTTAAAGAAAAGGTTATCAGATTTGTGATCTGCTTAGGACACATGCTGGTGAAGATGCATCCATTGTAACTGCATTAAAATCTTGTCAACTTAAGTGTGTGTTGTAAATGTTACGAGTTGTACATTTGAAGGATTCAACAGACAATTAAAAGATAATGGCTGGTGATGTTTGGAGTGTTTATTTTTCTTTGTGTCGTTGAATTTATTTTCAGTCTTCCTAGAGAAATCAGCATTTGGATAATTTCTTTATTGTTCAACATTTCTCAGACTGGTTGGAAAAACTGTGATCCTCCATCTGATGTTTGCAGGGAAGAAACACATTGTGTTGTCCTTATGTTTCCAGAACCCACCTCACTGAGCTTACAGGTTATTTTCTGGGCACTTTTTCTTCTCAATACCTGCAGGTTATTTCCCCAACATTCATAGGTTACCTTCCTAGAACCTACGACTAGGCATCTTTCTTATACTTTCAGGGTATATTACTAAATTTTACAGGGCAGTTTTCTAGAACTTATGGGTTATTTTATTGAAACCTATTTGGTTCTTCCCCAGAACTTACAAACTTTCAGAGCAGTTTCAAAAAACATTTATGTGGATTCAGACAAGGCCACAAGAAGCAGTTGCATAGAGTGCCCACTGTTGAAGTTAGCATATGATCTGTAGCTTCAGACTGATCTGTTATCTGAATCCACTGTGAACTGATGTTAGATCAGCCTTCCATGTGTTTACTTGTTGGATTTTCTCTGGGAACAGGCAGAGCAGGGTAAAAACTGTGTAAAACAAAAACCAAAAAAACATTGTTTTTTAAAAGCTATGCAAGTTGCAATATAAGTATATACTATTGGGTTCAAAATAATAGCAGTCCCACATCACTAGCAAGATAAATCACTTTTTCTTGAAAAACATTAACGGGTAGTTCAAGACACTGTTCAGAAGAAGAGCATTCTTTGATAAAAAAAATTATTAAAAAAGGGGAAAACCTATAAAGAGATGTAGAAAATTATAGGCTGTGCAACTAAAACAGTATCAAATGCTTTAAAATGGCAGCCAAAATCAGAAAGTTGAGAAAGAAAAATAACTATTCATTTAATAGAGATAAACATATGAGTAAGAGAAAGTAAAAATGTGTGCATTGAGGAGAACAACTTGGGGTAAGGGTTTGAAAAGACAAACCAGTATAAAAAGAGATAATGCATAGCTATATATTAGTAATTGCTGACAGCTACTCTGACTTTTAATTGATTGATGATTTCTTTTTTTTCTTTTTCTTTAAAATAACAGTAGTATTGTAAGTTTTCCAGTCTTTAGGGGGTAGGAGTTAATAAGTTTTTACTTCTTCCTACCCATTTTGAGCATGATATGTTAACTGAAACAGATATCTGTATTTTTTTTTCTTTTCTTTTCTTCTTTTCTATTCACTTTTCTTATTGTGTACTATATTACTTTTTATATTTGTATCATGTTCGAAATACATTTCAAAATTTCAATTTCAAATGGATCACAGAATAACCAAAATGGCAAAGGCTCAGCCAATGATCAGCTCCAGGAGGATCAAAAAAAATCTGCGATTGCCTGAGTACTGCAACAATCAGACGATGTCTATGTGAACCAAGCTACCAGCAAGTCCCATTGTTTAAAAAAAAAAAAAAAAATGTGCTGAAGCAGCTACAGTTTGCCAAAGAACATATTGACCACCCTAAAAATAAATGGTGTACTATTTTGTGGACTGATGAAAGTAAGTGTTCTTTTTGGTTCTAAGGGCCACAGATAGTTTGTCAAACGTCCTGCAAACTCTGATTTCAAGCCAAAGGACACAGTGAAGATGATAAAGCACAGTGGTTCAAGCATCATGATATGGGGATGTTTCTCATACTATGGTGTTGGTCCTATTTATCGCATACTAGGGATCATGGATCAGTTTGAGTACACTAGAATACTGGAAGAAGTCATGTTGCCATATGCTGAAGAGGAAATGCCTTTGAAATGGGTATTTCAACAAGACAATGACACCAAACACACCAGCAAGCAAGCAAAATCATGGTTCCAGACAAACAGAATTCAAGTAATGGCGTGGTCAGCACAATCCCTGGACCTTAATCCCATAGAAAACTTGGGGCTGACATAAAAAAATTCTGTTCATGAGGCAAAACCAAAAAATACAGCAGAATTGTGTAACAGTACAGTTGTCCTGGGCTGCAATACTTGTTGACTAGTGCCAGAAGTTGGTTGACTCCATGCACCACAGATGTAAAACGGTTATCAGAAACTGTGGTTTTGCAACTAAATATGATTCTCAGGAAAGATGAATCTTCCAGCATTTCTTAGTTCATTTTTGAGTTTGTAAAGAAGGATGTCAACACTATTTTTCAACATTGTATTTCTTGACTTTCTGTAAAATATTGATATTCAATTACTTTTCCCGCTTTTTTGCTTTGAAATAGAATGTGCAGTGTCCCCAATGCATATGTGTTCATTAAAATACAATTTATGTGAAGAATTTTGAGGTTTACTCACCTTTTTAAACACACTGCTATTACTATGAACATACTGTACATTATTTTTCTTTATTTCGTCCTTTGACACTGGTTGACTTGCAGAGATATAAGTTATTGTCAAGTCTTCATTCAATCTGCTTTGCTGAATTGCTTCAAATAAGCCACATTGGATGATTTTCAAAACATGGATAGTCTGCTGAAGATCATGCCACAGCATCTCATTTTAATTTAAATCCACATTTTGACTAGACCACAGCTGATCATTTTTTGTTGTTTTTTCTCTTATTTTTTCCAGCCAAGTTAGAGGTAGACTTGCAAGTATGCTTTGGATTGTTGTCCTGTTTCATAAGTGAGTACTTGAGTTCTGGAACTCAAGTACTCAAGACCCTGGGGTCACAAAATGATAGCTGAAAATTCTTTTTCTGGACTTTCTGGCTCACAGATCACATGTCCATGATTTGTTAGTTTTCATACAAATGTAATGGTACATTCACCTTCCAAGAAGTTCAGAATTTTCCTTAAAGTCTCGAGGAGTGTTTCTCAACCTTTTTTGGCCCAGCGCCCCCCTAGCCTTTATCCAGGTCCCTCACCGCCCCCACCAAAGAATTTGTAGGCTACTTTGCACTGACTATTATTTATTAATAATATTACTATTACTATTATAGATGTTTTGATTTTTATGCTTGTTTCTGTATTTATCATCAAAAATAATTTCCCAGAGAACAAAAAAACAATGTGAGCAGAAATTATTTTCACAGCTGTCTACAAAAAATGCAATGAACATTCAACTTAAAATTGGTAGGCCTAACATCAGCCAATCAGAGTGGAAAAATATTCTTGTTGC